TATAAGGTGAATTTTTTGGAATGGGGAGTGCATCTTGTTTTTAATGTATCTATGTTACAATGTATAGACTCTTAAACTTAACTATGGTGCTCTGTAACACACACACTTCTATGTGTTCTACAAATGTATAAACTCTTGATTTATTAAAAAATCATTTTTCAAACTGTGACTATGGAGGGTCATGCAGGCCACAAGCAGAAGCTGGGGACTCTTTGTAGACAGAGAGTGAATTAGGATCACAGAAGAAAATGTTGCTGTTCAAGAGGGGAAACGCTTGTGGGGCTAAAGGAAGGCACCATCTTCTCCGACACTAGCCTCAAGGGGAGTTCCATGTACTGAGTAGCTGTTCAGTACTGGACTAGAGAGCAAATTAATGTGACGCAGTGCAAATCACTCTGTTCTTCATTCCCTCCCATTGTTTTTTCTTATTTATATATTTTCTGTACTGCCCAATAACTGAAGCTTTCTGGATAGTGAACAACAGTAATACAGTATAGTGAAATATATAGACTAAAACAACAATAAAAGATAATAAAAATTACATTACAAATTTACAACTTCATTTAAACCCACCTTTTTACAACTAAATAACTAAAAACAAGTTACTGCTTAGGCCACCTGAAAAAGAGCTAGCGATACCACCCACCATGTGTTGTTTGGAATTGGTAAATGCCTCTGCAAAGCGGATGGTCTTAACCTGTACTGAAAAGATAGTGAAGTTGATGTCAGGAAAGCCTCATTCCCTGATTCAGGGCTACCACAGAGAAGTCCCTCTTCTTTGTTGCCAACTGACCTTCCCTTGAAGGTTGCATTCAGAGGAAAATCTCAGATGTTGAGCACTGTATCCAGGTACAATGGGGTTGGGATACATTCTGTCAGGTATTGTGATCCCAAGTCACATAGGGATTTATAGCACCTTGCACAGGACTCGGGAGTCAATGAAAGTGGGCCTGAAATTTTGTTATATGTTCAAACTGGCTGTCTCATTTTGCACAAGCTGCAGCTTCTGCATGGTTTTCAAGGAAAGCTCCACATAGAGTGTGTTGCAATAATTTAGTTTAGAGAGTACCAGTTCATAGAAGCCAAGCTCTCTGTCCACATAACGGTGTAGCTGGGCCACCAGCCAAAGCTGGTAGAAAACACTCCAAGCCACTAAGGCCACCAGCTCCTTAAGTCACAAAGATGGCTTAAGGAGCACCCCTAATCTACAAACCTGCCTGAGGGGAGTGCAACCCCACCTGGAAGAGGTTGAGAGTCTTCCATCTGGTTAAAGGAACCACCTCAGCCTTGTCTAGATTAAGCTTCAGTTTGTTAGTTCTCAGCCAACCCTTTGTTACAGCCGGACACCAGTTTAACACACCCACAGTCTCACTCAGTCTCACTGACAAGAAAAAGGAGAAATAGAGCTGTGTGTCATCACCAAACTGATGGCGATGTACTCCAACAAAACTCTGGATGACCCCACTCAGTGGCTTCATGAACTGGAGGAGGAGGTGAGAAGTCTACTGATCAAATTCATGGAGGATACTAAAATAGGGGTGGTGGCTGCAACTGAGGAGCAGTTGGATCTGGTCAGACCGTGGAAGTAGGTCAGGGACAACAGGACGGTGTTCAGTGGAGATCAGTGCAAGGTCTTGCACTTGGAGCATAGGAATGGGGATCATAAGTACAGGTTAGGGGAAAAGTGGCTGGAGAGCAGCACTTGTGAAAAGGATCTCAGGTGCCGGTTGGCTACAGGTTAAGCATGAACCAGCAGTGTGACACGGCAGCCAAGAGGGCAAATGGCACCCTTGGATGCATCACCAGAAGCATGGCTTCTAGATCGATAGAGGTATTACTGCCATATTATACAACTCTGGTGCACCTGCAGCTGGAGTACTGTATTCAGTTCTGGCCCCTCATTACAAGAGGGATATAGCAAAGTTGAAATCAGTGCAGAGAAGGGCCACTAGGATGGTGGCTGGTTTGCAGGGTAAGCCATATGTGGAGAGACTGAGGAAGCTAGGTCTTTTCAGCCTTGAGAGGAGAAGACTCAGGGGGGACCTGTTAGAGACATATAGGTACTGGAGGGTGTGCCACATATAGGAGGTGAGTGGAGGGTAGGACATGTTCCAATGGAGCAAAGCTCAGGAACCAAGATTTAGGGTGGATGCCAGGAAGTACTTCCTGATAGTTAGGACCCCTAGAGTTTGGAATGGGCTTCCACAGGAGGTGGCTGAAGCCTCAACGGTGAGGGTGTTTGAGGATAGGTTGAACATGCACTTTGTAGGCATGTCACGAGTGGAGCTGGCTGCAGCCAGGGGTCAGACTAGATGGCTCACCCTTCTGACTCACTCTGTTTCTATGTAGCTGTTGAATAGCATTTGTCCCCTGCAGAACTTCATACTGAAAAGTCCACAGAGCCAAGCAAAGTAATTAATTTCTTTATGAGTTATAGAGCAATCCTGGATGGGATAGGGTAAGAGGAGAAGTGACAGATCCTCCAGTCCTTCCAAAGTCATGCTAACACATGCTGGCTAAGGTGAACAATGGGTGGTCTTACTTTCACCTCTGGTAGTTTGTTTTGTAAAATTTTCCCTACTGTTGGCTCAGCAAATTCAAAGCCATGCCCCCAGAATGCCTGTTTTGGGGCCTCCCACCAGTGCTTGTAACTAAATGTAACTAGGGCCTCTCTGCCACAACAGAAGGACACCTCCACCCTGTCCTAGTCTCTGATGACTGCTGTCTTCAGGGATTAGGATTACTTTGCCCAATGAAGTAGTTTTACAGCTACATTCCTTTTACAAAGTGATGGCCCACTTTTTGACTACTCTCTCTGAAACAGATAACATCTACAACTGCAGAAAGATGAAACACTAAAAATGAGCAAATGAACATATTAAATGAGTATTCTCATTTCCTTTATCTTCCACATTTAGTTCTTGTAAAATGTTGATGTAAATAGTTTTAGTTTTATTGCACATGCAGATGACAAAATCTTAAAAGTATGGAAAGGCAATCCTGAAATCAGGCTTTGCTGCTGTTTTTTCCCACCCTGCAGCATTTGTTCTTTGTGTTTCCTTTACATGACAAAATCTGTTAGTTTCACTTGTATATATAGACAGTTTCACTTTCAATTGCTTTAATAGCTGGCTTCCAAGGAAGCAGTGTTTTCTTAAAAAAAAAAAAAAGCTTTTGACTTTGACTTCACTTGAAAGAAAGATGTTGCAATTTGTACAAACTTAGTTATGCAGAGTACAAGCAAGGATAAAACCTGATCAGTCAGCTTCCATTTAAACACTGGATGTTTTAACCTTTGTACCTGAATACGCATTGTCAACTCCCCTGCAGGAACAGGACAAAGGTTGAAAGTCCTTTTTTGACTGGTGTCACCTGCTAAAACCAGCTAATGAAAGAAATTTCATGACTTTTTTGCCTGATATTAAAAAATATTATATAGTTAAATTCAAATTTAATGCTACACAGGGATTTTTTTGGAGTTCATTCACACCTGTTCAAATAAAGAGTAATCACAGTCTAAAGTTTATCTAAATAGTTAGGAATGTAGTTATGCTAGTTCTCCAAAATTAAAGACCAAGTAGATATTAAATGTGCTTCTGTTGACTGTGTGTGCTCTCCTTATCTAGGTCGAGAGTGATTCTCATCATATGGAATGTACAGCCAGTATCAGATTAGATTTTAATAATCAAGATCGTGTGTGGTGTGCAGCTTCACATAGAAGACCTCATGGCCTAATTGGCTGCTGTAAGCATTTGCTGTAATCTTCTCTTTCATCTCCGCGATCATTGAGCATTTTGTTTCAAAGACAGCTGCAAGAGCTCAGCGGATAGCCCATCAGGTGTTACCAGAAAAAAAACAAAAAAAAAACAAAGCAAAACAAAACAAAACTCTGAAGGTGCGGATGGCCAATGCAAATCTATTTTGCAGATTGTACGGGATTCGTAACGGAGCCTAAATATATAGTTTTGCCTACCAGTAAAGGCACCTACTTGAATATGAAACTTACGCAGCTACATCAACATCCGTTGTCTTTGGAGTTTAAAACCCCCATCTTGTTATTACATGAACCATGCACTTGCTGCATTCTTGCAGGACCAAGACATCAAGCTGGGAAAGGCTTAGGCAAATAAAGAGATGGGACTATGGTTCTCAGTAATTTTTCGAGGGATGGAGTAAATCAATCTGAGGCTCAGGACAAGTTTTATCGCCTGTTCCAAACCACGACATCACTAGAGGCTAGGGCTCGATCTCGCCGCCATGCTACTTTGCCCGGGTGCACACCTTGCGCTGATCGCATATGAATGAATGACTGCCATTTAGTGCAGCTAAGGACACTGTGGCGATGATTGTCTCTGAGCGCGCGCGCGCGCGCGAGCGAGCAGGAGCCGACGCTGCCGCGCGGGATTTCCTCCCTCCGGCGCCTGAAACAGCTTCAAAACAAGCAGACCTTCAAAAGGCGCCGCTTTGCCTCAATGAAGACGCAACACGAGGACAAGCTGCACCTGCTGAATTTCTGCACGTCATGCAGCTGGGAATGCCAAAAGGGCCCGGCGGGGTGGTAGGAGAGGCAGCAATCCTAAATGAAGAGCAACGGCTGGGAAGAGATGCGGATCTCTCGGTGGCAGGCGGCGGATGGCTTAGGAGGAGCGCCGCTGCCTTTGTCCTTGCCCCCCGGGCAGTCCGGCTCCCTCCTTGCCTTCTCCGCTTTTTCCCGCCACAAGACCCCCTCCCCCCTCTCCCGCTTCCCATCGTCGCCGTCTCCCCTCCACCAGCCCCCGTCTTCCTTCTTTGGCGCCTTTTCCTTCCCGCCACGTCGAGTCTCCTCAACAGACCATTCTGACGGAGAGGCCCGGCGCGGGCTGGCAGCGGCGGCCGCGATTGGCCGAGGACGCGCCAGGGGCGGAGCTTACGAGTGCCTGAGTGCTGCCCGCAGGATCTCCCCGGCTCCGCCCAGGCAGTGCTGCTCCCTCCCACTTACTACAGGAGACTGAAGCCGGGGCCGTCGCGCCACACGGGAGGGAGCAGCCTGGCCCGGCACGACCCCGCCCGCAGCTCCCGCCCGTGCTTAGGAGACACCAGCCCAGCCGCCGCCTCAGAGACGCTGCCTCTGCTGTCGCCGCTGCCGGCCCCGGCCTGCCTGGAACACGCGGACGGGGCGGGGATGTTGCTCTCCAAGATCAACTCTCTGGCCCACCTGTGCTCGGCGCCTGGCGGGGATCTGCACCCAGTCAAGCCGTTGCCAGGTCAGCCCGGCGGCGAAGGGAAGGAAGGGGGGCTGGGCGCAAGGAGGAGAGATGGGCGATGGAGATCTTCATTCTGGGTTAGTCGGTCGGTGGGTGGCCTGAATGCCCCGCTTTCCGTGGTCGGTGATCACGCGGCAAAGGCGCGTTCGCCGTCAGGTTTTGTGCGCTTGTTTTGGGGCGAGAGTGATGCGGCGAAAGGCTCCGATGGGCGCAGCGAACTGACCCCCCTTCTTCTCCACAGGAAAGGAAAAGGAGCCCCTGGAAAAGCTGTACCAGGTGGGCCCGCTGCTCGGCAGTGGGGGCTTCGGCTCGGTCTACACGGGCAGCAGGCTGGCAGACGGAGCTCCGGTGAGTGGCTGGATCGCTTTTCGAGGTTTTTCGGTGGATTTTGCTTTCTCTGCATTCTCCGCTACCCGCCCATCGCTCCCCCTCAAATTCGTTCCTCCAGCCTGCTTGTGATACAGACTTCCTTCCATTCATTCCCCGTTTTCTTCATATTCAGCATTATCTGTTATATCTGTATTGGTCGTCACGCTTCTTTTTCCTGCTTTGTTTGCAGGTGGCCATTAAGCATGTATCCCGGGACCGGGTTTCTGAATGGGGAGAACTGGTAAGTGTGTTGGGAAGAGATGCATGGCGTGTGCCATCTCTAGAGAAGCTCACGCAGTCGGCATTGCACGTTTGCTCCACTGTGTGGGTCAGTTTGCCCCCTTAGCTCATGAGCCATTTTTTCTTTCCTCTCCCCTTCCCCCATATTCTTTATACAGCCTGGTGGAACACGAGTACCCATGGAGATCTTGCTCCTGAAAAAAGTTGGCTCCGGATTTCGAGGAGTGATCCGGCTTCTGGATTGGTTTGAGAGGCCAGACAGTTTCATTTTAGTTTTGGAACGCCCGGATCCCGTTCAGGATCTCTTCGACTTCATCACTGAGCGAGGGGCTCTGCCTGAGGACTTGGCCCGGAGTTTTTTTTGGCAGATTTTGGAGGCAGTTCAACACTGCCACAACTGTGGTGTCCTGCATCGGGATATCAAGGATGAGAATATCCTGATTGACCTGAACAGTGGAGAGCTCAAACTTATAGACTTTGGATCTGGAGCCCTACTCAAGGACACAGTGTACACTGACTTTGATGGTGAGTCTTATCAATTTCCATTCACCACTATGAGCCAGGGAATTTACTCTTCTTAAAACACCTCGTTCCCTGGCTTTGAGTGCTCAGTAACTTCACAGCAGTGGAACATGTTCTTCCTTCAATCTGTAGGACTTATCCTTTCTGTGAAATGCATTTTATCCTGATTACTAGTTGTCTACACAAAACCTCTGTTGCTAGGAGATTTAACTCCTATCAATTGCTAGCCTTAGCTGCTGCTGCTGAAAGATTGCTCTTCTGTAAGTCTGAAGGACTCGATAGTCTTACTTGCATACAAAGTAAAGTAAGATGGGAAGCAGATCAGTTCTAAATCTTCTGTGATTATGGGTACTAGTTTACCTGCTAGGTAATGCAGATAGGCTTGGATCTTACAGATCATGCTAAGCTGAATGTAAACATGATTGCAGCCATGCTGTTCCAAATGATGAGCCCTAATGTAAACTTGTAACCGAAGTGGAAAGCTTAGGGTGCAAGGCTGGTAGATAGAAGGGAGGATTTTGTATTATGTCTTTCCCAGTGATGGCTAGACAAACAGATGGGGTGCTGAAGAGGGGAATTATTAAGAACTGTTGCTTCTGCTGTTTCACTAAATTAATCATCTTGAGAAGTTGCTTTTTGTTGTGGTGTTAATGTTGTGAAATGCAATCTGAAAGACAGATCTGTTTACAGCCGGCTCGTTTCCTTTTCTGCTAAGAAATACAAGTAGATGATTTCTACCTTTAAGAAATAAAAACAGTGTTTGTGTGTGGAGAGTTTACTCAAGTATTTAAACGTTAAGACTAGAAAAGAAAGGCCATTGCATATAGATTTGTTTCCAGCAAACAAACCAAGCTTCTTGTGTTGCTAGCCAACTCCCTCCAAGAGCCGTTGACTTCAAAAATCACTGCTGGCTTCTGTTTTGTTTTGTTTGTGTTTTTCATCCGAGTTCTCAAGTGGCATGAGAGCTGCCTTGCATTTTTTGTTTTGTTTTTAATTTAACGGCTAATGACCAGGGTTGGGCTTGCTCTTCCCTATGCTACCCTCTATCTGGCTCGGTTTCTCAAGCTTATCATGCCCCCTGGTGGCTTAGGGGGTATTTTTTTACAACCCAAAGTTTGTAAACAAGAGTCACGTGGCTGGAAACAAGACAAGCAGCTCTGACCTCTGTCCTTGCTTCCTGCCTGCAGTGAGTTGGGAGGGGTGCGAATGTGTGTGGAAGGAGATCAGATAGGACAGCAAACGCAGACAAAGGCGTATACCAGTATCAGGACTTGCTGAAGAGGTGCAGGTTGGATTCAGTCATTTTTACCTAGCATTGTGTAGAATGCAGGAATCAGAATGGCTTATAATTACTAAGGGCCAACTGTAAGACAAAGTCATTCCCTCAGTAATTTACAATAAATCTGTTTTAGTTTACTTAGTAGTGTTTGTAGTCAGGGAGTCCTCTAGCTAATGATATGGGATAAAAAATCTAATAAATAGTACTTTTTTCAATAGAATACAGCCAACTTTAGCTTTATCTCTTAAAGATAGCCTAAAATAATGCTAAATGATACTCTCCCATCTCTCTGGTAAACAACTGTAGCCTTTGTCAGTTGTATTGGATATTACATTATTGTTGTATTGGATATTACATTAGCAAGCTAACTCGGAAATAAAATTGTCTTTTAAAGATTCACATAATGAGCCTCACCACAACTGAAAATTAGATCTCTACTGGGACTTGTGTAAGCCTTGATCAGATTGAATACAAGGTTCTGTGCCTAGATTCTGTAGAAGCTTTAAGTTTCTTGGTAATGAGACCTACCATCTTTTTTCAGGGACTCGTGTATATAGTCCTCCAGAATGGATCCGGCATCACAGGTATCATGGCAGGTCTGCAGCTGTCTGGTCACTTGGGGTGTTACTCTATGACATGGTCTGTGGTGATATCCCCTTCGAGCATGATGAGGAGATCATAAGAGGACAAGTCTATTTTCGGCAAAGGGTTTCTCCAGGTAAATTCATACTGGTATTATCTGCCGGGATAAATCAGACTACCATTGCTTAATGTTACTGCCATATTCTAGCATTACAAGGCTGGCTGCAGCATGTAAGCAGCCCTTAACTCACAAACAAAATCCCAGCTTTTGAACTTATTTGCATGTTGCTAGATAACCCATACAAACTAGTGCTCCTAAACCAGTTCCTAAGCTCTTAGTGGTAACTTGATACCACACTCCCTACCAAGACAAGGAGTTCAGTGTTACTTAGCCTTGGCACAAACAGCACAATAAGGTGAATGAAGAGGTCAGGGATGGTTTTAGTCTGATTAAGCAGTCTCATTTTATGAAGCAAGTTGAGGACATTTTACAGCAGTATCTGTGCCCCTTATTTTTGCAGATTTCCAGTAACTGATTTTTCCTAACTTTGACTTTCTTTTGTAGAGTGCCAACATCTCATTAAATGGTGCTTATCTCTGAGGCCTTCCGACAGGCCATCATTTGAAGACCTTTTGAACCATTCTTGGATGCAAGATGTCCTGCTGCCCCAGAAAACAGCTGAGATCCACTTGCACAGTCTAATTCAAGATTCTAGCAAATAGCAATATGTCTGGTCCTTTTGGTGTGCAAAACAGAATTCTACCCTACAGAGTCTGGCTGACTCGGATTTTTACAGGAACTCTGTTCATCTCATTCCAGACACAGACTGCTTGGAGACTTTGCCAAACCTGGAGAAACACATCTCTTCTAGTAGAGTGGACTTGAACTCTTTGGGGCTTGTCTTGCAAACTTCCTTGGCAGTAGACCAGTCCTTGAGTGTCCACAACCTGCTGAATCCTAGAATATGAAAGGAGTGGAGCAGAGTACTAGAGTATATGTTTCAAATGGGGAAACCTGGGTATGGGAGCGGGGAGGGGAAGGTACTGGGTTTGGATTGGCTTCCTGTCTTCACTGTGTCACCCTGTTCCGAGTGCCTTCAGTTGCAAACTGAACTGTGCTGGGGAAAAATACTTGAATGTACGTACCTTCATTACTGCTGCTTTCTCAAGGTTCACATAGTTCATTCCACTTTCTTAAAGAACTGCTTCAAAAGAAGCTGAGGGTGATTGGCAAACTTGCTAATTGCAGCCCTGTATGAACTATGAGTTTGTTCTTGCAGCCTCTTGAAACTGAAGGCATCCTCAAGTGCACAAACAATGCAACCCACTTACCTGTAAATTTGTACAGAACAATACAGGAACAAAGTTTAGTATACAGAAGATTGTAGTTTATAATGGTTTTTACTCTATTGTTTTTAATTTATTTCTAGGGTTTTTAAAATATGTCCTAACTTGTAGGATCTTATTTATTTTATTTATGAATCATGTGGATTCTTGGCCTACACCTCACTGCTGCAGCTGCTACCTGGTTACCTGTACCCCTTCACTTCTTGCTACCAAATCCCTTCCTTATTGGGTTCCTTTCTGCTTCTTCTGCTGTCTGTTGTCACTGTACGGAGCAGCTGACCCCCTTTCAGCCATCTGTAAAAGTTTCCAACTGCGGCTGTTCAGCCTCCCTGAATGTTTGAGACATGTTCCACGAGTGTTGGTGGGGTGGATGTGTGTGTGTGTGTGTGTATTATATAGCATGTATATACAGTGCTCTTAAAGTGGAGCCAAATATCCTGAACTTCCAACACTGTCAGGCTTGTATAAGTAATTTGGTGTGTAGTCTGCTGGTTTTTAAAATAGTTAATACTGTACAGGGAATTCAGAAATGTTATTTTTTTTATACATCCCATTTTAAATAAAAATGGAATCACTTGATTTAATCAGACTGCTGGCTCTTAAATGGTTACATCATGTTAAAACTAGACTTTGTTGTGTGAGCAAATTGTGGCCCGGATGTTGTGGGGCTGTTTTCTCATCCATGATGGATTATGTTGGCTTGTCTTGGAAGCTTCTGACAGGTCATTTGAAGACCTTTTGAACCATTCTTGGATGCAAGATGTGCTCCTGCCTCAAAAAATGGCTGAGATCCACCAACACAGGCTAATTCAAGATTCTAGCAAATAGCCTAATGTCTGGCCCTTTCGGTCTGCCCTACAGGGACTGCAGGTGGTGCAGTGGTTTAAACCCGCTGTGCTGCTGGGCTGGTAGATCAAAAGGTTGCTGGTTCAAATCTGCACAACAGGGTGAGTTCCCATTGCTTTGTCCCAGCTCCTGCCAACCTTGCAGTTTGAAAGCATGCAAATGCTAGATAAAAAGGTACCACTTGGGTTGGCACGTAACAGCGTTCGTGCACTTCGGTGTTTAGTCATGCCTGCCACATGACCACAGAGACTGGGGACAAACGCTGGCTCCCTCTGCTAGGAAACTGAGATGAGCACCGCCCCCTAGAGTCAGGCATGACCTGACTTAATGTCAAGGGGAAACCTTTGCAGAGTCTAGCTCACTGGGGATTGGATGGCAGTTGCAGTTCAACATGAAAACACTTGTGCTAATCTCCGGCATAAAATGTGTGGCAAACTAGAGAGAGCCATTCTGATGTGTTGGCTTGGGCATTTTGGAGTGACTGGCACTTGTCACTTCAGCGATCAGGAAAAGTGACCTCTGGTGGGAAAGGGAATAAAAGGGTAATGGTGCAGGAATTGCATCTCAGTGCTGCTTGGGCACTTGGAACAGCTGCCAGTAGCAATGGCCCGGGAAGCTCAAATGATGCCTGAGGAGGCATTCTTGCTTGTACTGACCATGCAACAGATCATCTGGGTTTGAATGATGCCAAACCCTGCAATGTGCAGTTACCTTTACAACTATATGTCATGTGAACCCACTCATAGTCTGTTGCTTCCATACCAAAGACTCAATTTTGCAGTTCAAAAGACGAGTAAAGTATATAGCAGTCTAGATCAAATGTGAACAATTTCCTTGGGATTGGCATGTGTTTACAGCGGGTGGAGGTCATGTACAGGACCTGACTTTGTATTTACTCTGTTAATTTATGTGTTCCTGCTCGATTTATATTCCCTCAGTTGGAATGCGCTTGCCACTGCCAGGAGCTTTGGGATCATTTTTTCTCATTGGATTTTCAACCTTTGGCTGACTTGCTGTCTTCCCCCAAATTGGCAACTGGAGCAAATGTATCCCAGCCAGCCCTTGGCAAGCACAACTGACACAGCAATATGGAGGGAAGTTAGTGTAAGCTGAAACAGTAGTGAGAACAGAGGGCCTCACATGATAAAGGCTTAAAGATTGCATTTGAAAGTGGGGATGTTAGGATATCCTATACGTTTTTATATTATATTTGAACAAACCCGCACAGGATTGTGCCACAAGGTGTCTAAATCAATTTGTCCTTGTATTAAGAACTGTCTTCTAATTTTTATAGCAGGTACCAGCTGAAACTTGGTTACTGGTATCTAGCTTCAACATTGGGAGCTTTGCAATTGGTATTTTCCAGTATTCTCATGCAGTGGATGGATGGCAGTTTTTCATGAGTTATACACTGATAGCAATATTAGTGGATACATTGTTTAAATGCACAGGCTCAACCTACTTGTGTAGTGAGGATTAAGACACACTGTGTTCGATAATGTCTACTTCCAAGTAAACATGGTCAGGTTGACACAGCTGCAAATGTATGGCCCAGATGAAGTTTGACTGCAATTCCTATCATCCCTCATGATGGATTATGCTGGCTGGATTTGATAGTAGTTCAAGTCCCAAGTTCTCCACTGGAGAAGGAAATGGCAACCCACTCCAGTATCTTTGCCATGAAAACCCCATGGACAGTACCAAAAGGCAAAAAGATATGACGCCGGAAGATGAGCCCCTAAGGTTGGAAGGTGTCCAATATGCTACTGGGGAAGAGCGGAGGGCTAGTACTAGCAGCGCCAGAAAGAATGAAGCGACTGGGTCAAAGCCGAAAGGACACTCAGTTGCAGATGTATCTGGTGGTGAAAGGAAAGTCCGATGCTATAAAGATCGATACTCCATAGGAACCTGGGATGTAAGATCCATGAATCAAGGCAAGCTGGATGTGGTCAAACAAGAGATGACAAGACTGAACATCGACATCTTAGGAATCAGTGAACTAAAATGGACAGGAATGGGTGAATTTAATTCAGATAATCATCAGGTATACTACTGCAGGCAAGAATCCCTCAGAAGAAATGGAGTAGCCTTCATAGTCAATAAAAGAGTAGGAAAAGTAGTAGTCCAAGTCTATGCCCCAACCACTGGTGCTGAAGAGGCTGAAGTTGACCAGTTCTATGAAGGCCTACAACACCTTCTAGAATTAACACCAAAAAATGATGACCTTATCATCATGGGGGATTGGAATGCTACAGTAGGAAGCCAAAAGATTACTGGAATAACAGGCAAGTTTGGCCTTGAAGTACAAAATGAAACAGGGCACAGGCTGGTAGAATTTGTCAAGAGAATTCAATGGTCATAGCAAACACTCTTTTCCAACAACCCAAGAGACGACTCTACACATGGACATCACCAGATGGTCAACACAGAAATCAGACTGACTATGTGCTCTGCAGCCAAAGATGGAGAAGCTCTATACAGTTGGTAAAAACCAGACCAGGAGCCAACTGTGGCTCAGATCATGAGCTTCTTGTTGCAAAATTTAGGCTTAAATTGAAGAAAGTAGGGAAAAGCCCTAGGCCATTCAGGTATGACCTAAATCATATCCCTGATGAATATACAGTAGAGGTGACAAATAGATTTAAGGAATTAGATCTGATAGACAGAGTGCCTGAAGAACTATGGACGGAGGTTCGCAACATTGTACAAGAGGTGGCAACTAAAACAATCCCAAAGAAAAAGAAATGCAAGAAAGCAAAATGGCTGTCTGAGGAAGCTTTACAAATAGCTGAGGAAAGAAGGGAAGCGAAAGGCAAGGGAGAAAGAGAAAGATACACCCAATTCAATGCAGAATTCCAGAGAATAGCTAGAAGAGATAAAAATGCCTTCTTAAATGAACAGTGCAAAGAAATAGAAGAAAACAATAGAATAGGGAGGACCAGAGATCTCTTCAAGAAAATTGGAGATGTGAAGGGAACATTTCATGCAAAGATGGGCATGATAAAGGACCAAAATGACAGGGACCTAACAGAGGCAGAAGAGATTAAGAAGAGGTGGCAAGATTACACAGAAGAACTATACAAGAAAGAGCTTAACATCCCTGATAACCATGATCACAATGGGGTGGTCACTGACCTTGAGCCAGACATCCTGGAATGTGAAGTCAAATGGGCCTTAGGAAGTCTGAGCAACAACAAAGCTAGTGGAGGTGACAGTATTCCAGCTGAGCTATTCAAAATCTTAAAAGACGATGCAGTAAAAGTGCTACACTCAATATGCCAGCAAATTTGGAAAACTCAAAAGTGGCCACAGGATTGGAACAGGTCAGTTTACATTCCCATCCCAAAGAAGGGCAATGCCAAAGAATGTTCAAACTACCGCACCATTGCAATCATTTCACATGCTAGCAAAGTTATGCTCAAAATCCTACAAGCTAGGCTCCAGCAGTATGTGGACCGAGAACTACCAGAAGTACAGGCAGGATTTCGAAGAGGGAGAGGAACTAGAGATCAAATTGCCAACATACGCTGGATCATGGAGAAAGCTAGGGAGTTCCAGAAAAACAACTACTTCTGCTTCATTGACTATGCTAAAGCCTTTGATTGTATGGATCACAACAAATTGTGGCAAGTTCTTAAAGAGGTGGGAGTACCAGACCATCTTATTTGTCTCTTGAGAAACCTATATGTGGGTCAAGAAGCAACAGTGAGAACTGGGCATGGAACCACTGATTACTTCAAAATTGAGAAAGGAGTTTGGCCAGGCTGTATACTGTTGCCCTGCCTATTTAACTTATATGCAGAGCACATCATGAGAAAGGCGAGCCTAGATGAATCACCAGTTAGAATTAAGATTGCTGGGAGAAATATCAACAACCTCAGATATGCAGATGATACCACTCTCATGGCAGAAAGTGAGGAGGAACTAAAAGCCTCTTGATGTGGGTGAAGGAGGAGAGCGCAAAAGTTGGCTTGAAACTCAACATTAAGAAAACTAAGATCATGGCACCCAGTCCTCTCACTTCCTGGCAAATAGATGGGGAAGAAATGGAGGTAGTGACAGATTTTATTTTCCTGGGCTCCAAGATCACCACAGATGGGGACTGCAGCCAAGAAATTAAAAGACGCTTGCTCCTGGGGAGGAAAGCTATGGCAAATCTAGACAGCATACTAAAAGCAGAAACATCACCCTGCCAACAAACGTGTGTATAGTCAAGGCTATGGTTTTCCCAGTTGCAATGTATGGCTGTGAAAGTTGGACCATAAGGAGGAGATCAACCCTGACTGCTCTTTAGAAGGCCAGATCCTGAAGATGAAACTCAAATACTTTGGCCACCTGATGAGAAGGAAGGACTCACTGGAGAAGGGCCTAATGCTCGAACAATAGATGGCAAAAGGAGGAGGGGACGGCAGAGAATGAGGTGGCTAGATGGAGTCACTGAAGCAGTTGGTGTGAGCTTGAGTGGACTCCGGGGGATGGTGGAGGACAGGAAGGCCTGGAGGAATGTTGTCCATGGGGTCGCGATGGGTCAGTCATGACTTCGGGACTAAGAACAACAACAAGTCCCAACATTTGGAGGGTCACACAGTCCCACTCCTGATTACAGTTTTAAGGACAGTCTTCTACCATAATCCAATTTTAACTCACTTATAGGCAAGAAATAATTGCTTTTTAAACCAATTAATCAACCAACCAACCCATTCCTCTCCACTATGCTGTCTTTTAGACTGGAACTTAATGACA